CTTTTACAGAATCATCCAACTTTACCGCCCTTATTCCTTGGTTAGGGCTCACAGATTTAAAAGAGATGAGCCTGAGAGGTCGTTAGTACACATCTAAATCCATTTTTTACTTATCCCCAAGGCCGTTTATTGATACACACACAGACGTACAAAAGACAAATAAACATATAAGCACGTAAGAATGGATGCTGATGTAGCCACAAAGTGGGAAACAGTGTACAACGTGCTCGTAATATACTGTGAGCCATTTCCATAATGACTATAGAGCTTCTGCTCACTCAAAAGTTCACGTCAATTTGCCTCCATTTATGACAATTAACTTGTGCCCCCGAACTTCTCTCCAAGTTGTAAGAGTTGTTAGCACAAAATGAATCACAAAAAAGGATGGTATGAAGAAGAAAAACAGAAACCTCCTGCCAACGCCCAAAACACAGTAAGACCCTCCTCTGTATTTATTCTTGTGTAGCAGGCAAGGCGTAAGTATGTCATCCCTGGAGCGAAACACGAAATGGATGACATTCTGAAACGTAGAATGCTAAATCCATCCCAATATACAAGTGATACAAAGGAAACAATAAGATGAATAATGGCAACAACCTCTTGGTACGCCTCTATGAAGTTAGTGCGGAATCCTTTAATAATATTCAAAAAGGAGTAATAGCGTCTTCTGTCGGGTAGGGTTCGTGTCTGCAATTGCAACATAACTGAATCGAATTAGAAGGTTAGATGAAATTTAATTTGTTTTGTTTCCCACAACATTTTACCTTAACTTTGTTAACAAAGTTGAGTGCTGCTTCAATAAAAGACTCTGGATCTGATGTATTCTGCCGGACCAAGATGTGATATCCTATTGGTAAGAAGGTGTTAAAAGCAACAAGAAGTTCCTGATGCTCGCTGAATAACACCTTAACCCTTGATATGACTTGCATGATATCAATCCTACACAAGAAGTTGAGATTTCAGCTCGACTTGAACAAACCAGTAACTAATCAATTGTGCAAAGAGATTTAGATGGCCATTGAGATTTATATATATTGATAGCTATGACGAAGGCAAGTGCATTCTACTCTAATAGCAATTAAAATATGTAATGAATGCTTAAAACTGTTAAAAGACACATACACATACACACACACACAAAACCAAAAAACAAGGGAATCCAAGTTTTAAATAACAAAACACAAATCTCCCCTCCATGTGGGTGGTTCAATAATGAAGTGCATGGTATGGTCAAGAGAAAAAAAAGGTTATTCGAGGAAAAAAAATGCAATCAAATGCAAATGCAGGAACGTAACTCCAAAAAATTTAAATATTTGATCGGTAACCACTAAATGGATGACATTAAATTTTGGAAAACAATAAAAGGTTCCATTAAAATGATCAACAGAAATAGCTGCGGTAAGAGTGGACAATTACACCCACAAAGTATATAGCTTCACTTCCAAACAGCTGTGAAATTCAGAAGGCAGAACTTGCACAAGATCCTTTATATAGAAACATCTGACAATCAATAGTGACTCCACTGCGGTCTACAACTTCAACTGAGAACTTTGAGCCCTCCAAAACTTGATGATTTCTTTATATCTGTCTACTCCAAAAATTATTATTACAATATGGTTCCAGGTCAAGTAAACAATAAGTTTTCCACAGGAATTACATTAAAACAATACTATGATTACACCAATTTCGTAATAACAACTGCACAGAATGAATGAGTTCTAGCTGGTATATTAAAGGTAATTATACTTTTTTTCTCTTCTGGAATGTAACTAGTACACAAAAGATGTTACAATTTAGACCTTATACAAGCCATGTGCTTATCTCAATATCCACTAATTAGGAATAAGGGTTTCTTGCACCAGTACATAAAAACATAACCTGCTGAAGGATGAAATTTCAGACAACCAGAAAAGTTTTAAATGCTACTTTTCCCCTAAAGGATGAATATACTCCAAATGTAAAGAGCAATGGAGGAATGCATGCAGAATTCCTGTGCTTATGGTATAGGGAAAACTCCATTTTACATCCCATGGTGTATCCTTATGGCACTTCACCCCCGTAAAAATAAAAATGGTCACATAACATGCAGTTTGGGGCCAACATAACAATTGACTCCATTAGCGGTGGGAGACCATCACTGTCTAACTCTCCCTTTCCCCCATCTCCCATTGTAAATGAGCCCGCAACCCTGAAACTGCGTTCCCCACCCATGTTCAGATTTTTAAGCTCGAGTTGAATAATACAATTCGAAATTTGGATTAAACTTCAACATTAACCAAAAAAATTATTGAAACCTGCCAACTTAGTATGCCAAAAATCTACGCTAAAACTTACCAGAAAAATTAGTGCAATTAGGGAGTCTTAGTGTAATTTGCTCAAAAGAAAATGATACCCATCAACACCATATAACATCATCTTCAGCTTTGACTCAAGTTTTTACTCAAATTTGAGTCTAACATTTGAGTAAAAAAAGCTAGATTTGATACACAGCATTTGAATGGAGAAACTCAAAATTAAAATTATAAGTAGACAAACCTAAATTTAAACGACGATAGAATATGATCACAAGATCTTTAAAAGAGGATAAAATTTGACCATTCAAGATTTGAGTCTCCCTTTGATTTGAAAGATTGGAAGTTGTTTTTACTCAAATTTAAAATTCAGTAAGGGTTTGGATAAGGATCAGAAATGCTCAACATGACAGAATTATCGCACTAAACACAATTCAAATTGACAATGTGACAATATAAGTGCATAATTAGCTTAACAAACCTTTGTTCTACGTGATTTTGTATCAGTTGATAAAACTCAAAATATTCTTGACTGTTGTATCCAAATTCGTCTCTCACCAGGTCAAGAAACTCAAAGTAATCCTGACTGTACCCAAATTCATCCCTCACGGTACTAATATAAGGAAGTTGATTTGTTCTTGCTACTCTTCTCTCCGTTTCGTCGGATGATAATGCCGATTCATCACTGTACAAATCAAATACCAAGAACATACTTTAAATCCCTTGGCCCAAGTGGTGTGTGTATCATGAGAGAGAAGAAGAAAGAAGTTGTGAGAACAAAGAGTGACTTACGATTCGTTGCTATCGCTGGAAGATTCAGAGTCGGAGGAGAATTCGAAGGAGTCTGATTCATCATCCATTGAGCAGCCGGGTTACAACGTCGAAGAACAAAATCTAGAGAGAGAGAGATTCTATGTGAATCACTAGTGCCAGTGGATTGGTTTGGAAAGTCTTTACGTGGTACACCCTGCCCTTTCTCCTAGCTTCCCTCCCATATATATGTAGTTGACGATAGTAAGCGTTAGAGCCTGTTTGGTTGGCTGAAATTTCTTGTTCTATGCAGGGATTCTTTGTAGAGGTAATCCCAACTTGCACCCAAAAGATTACTCGAATTTTAATTTGTACCTTTTAAGTTTAAAAATATTAATTTATATCCTGAAAGATATAAATACGTATTAATGTGTATATGAGATTACCTGTCATCTATTTTGCCACTAGAAAAATTTATGTTAATTATAAATTACACCCCTCAAAGTTTAAATATTTCGCAGTTATGTTCCAAAACGAATTCCATCAATTCATGTTCATTAAATAGCTCTCAATCGTATCGTGTCATAACATTTTCGTGTCGTGTTTGAGTCAATAAAAAAATATTTTTATGTCAATTCAATTGTATTGTGTCATATATTTTACATTTACGATAATTCATATAATACTATATTAATATTTTATAAAAATTAAAAAATATCTATTTTTTTGTCTATAATATTCGTTAAATAATTATTTTCTATTTACAGTTATGTTATTCATATCTAACTTTAATTTGATTAGACAATTAAAAAATTTGTGTATTTGTCAGTAATATCTATATCTAAATATGGGTAAAAATATAATTTGAATAACTCTTGATTAAATTTTTATCCAAATTTTGGTAAAAAAAAACTACCCAAATTATATAATTTTGATCATGAGCTATCTAAATTTTGGTCAAGAGTTATCCAAATTATTTTTTGTCTATATTTATGTATCACGTAACAAGTTTATGATAAAAAACAATTAGCAATTTGGATATTGTCTACTTAAGAAACCACATATAAAATATATTCAATATTTTAGAGATCAAAATGATGCAATTGAAATATTTAGGACTAAAATGAGAGAAATTTTATACTTTAGGACTTCCAATGTAATTAAGTCTTATAAGTAATTTAGAGAAATATCATAGTTTCCTCCTAAACTTTTTCAATACCGTTTGGTAACTAGTTTAATTGTTTTTTTCTTTTAACCTTTTTAATTTGTGTTGGTTTTATTGTATTTTCTATTTTTTTTAGTTGGGAATTAACTTACTTTTCTTACCATATTCTCTCTCTCTCTCTCTCTCTATATATATATATATATAATGCATGTATATAAAAGTTTTATTCATTTACTAAAATACTACTAGATCACTTTTACAAAATACTAATTGAAAATATATTTTTTTGAGAGATTAATTTTTACTTAAAAAATTATTTAGAAAAAAAACATTATCAAGCAGTATCTTATTTTGTTCACTTTGCCATTTTTTATGGAAAAAAAATTGGACAAAAGAGACTATAGTTATGATTTGAAAGTTACCAAAAAAAAAAAAAAGAAGAAGAAATAATCAGATTCAAGATAAAATTAAAAATCAGTAACTTTATAAAGTAAATTGCAATAAATATAATGATTTTTCTATTAATTTCAACAAATAATTAGAGAGAATTACTAATTTCTACATTTCAAGAATTCAATGATAAATTTGAAAAAAATAAATAAAATTTGCAAAAAAAATTGAAACTATCGTCAAATTAAAATCAAGGGTGTTATTGTACTATTGATACAGAATCATGTAAGTTTTTACGTCTTGTTTATGGTGTGATTTCGTTGTCTGCTTTAAATTTTTGTTGATTGTGTTTGGTGCTTCACCTATTAATTTAAACACAAAACTGTAGAAAATTCAATTATGCGGTTTTTATCAATTTATCCTATCATTAGGAACTGTTACTATTTCTTGTCCTAAATGTAGTTGAAGTTTTAATTAAACGTAAGCTCCAATATAGCAGGCTTGTGGGCCAAATGAAGCCTTCTGTTTTGAACAAATGTGACTAGACTTAATGCATTGTATCCCTTCATTTGAAATGAACCTGAAATGTCAAGATAACAATAGGCAAAAACACGAGGATGTAAGTGGTTCGTCGAGCTGAAGAGTTAGACTAGTTCATTGTAATGAAAACTCTTTCTCTTTTTATTTTGTATTAGTTGTGGAAAAAAAAAAGAAAATTACAATGAGGGCTTTCAATTGCCCATGCACGGACAATACAAGGGTTTGACTATTTATACACAAGGGCGGCGTGGTCCTCAAATAATGATTTTTTCATTTCTCTCTATCTATTTGAATATTTGGTCGTTAGAGATTCTAACCTTTAAGTATAATGTGATATTCTAGAAACAGTGACTTCTGGCTAAATATGAAATTTGATGGTGGAATTCCACTTCTATCCTTTTTTCCAATGTTTGTTGAGCTGTTTCAGTGACTGTTGAGTTGACCGATGCATGATCGTCCTAAATTCTGATCAGTCAAATCAGCCAGACTTCAATCAGGTCGGCTAGACTTCAATCAAGGCAGCTAATTTTTCAATTGTGTTGCTGACTTGTTTGAACTGCATATTTCCTGTTGGTATCATCAAGTATGTATTTTTGTTTTTGTCAAGATTTAGTTGTCAGTTGGACCCGACCCATAGAAAACCCGGGTGGTGGACTGTAGACGTCACGTATCCCACTCCGGTCACAGGATGGAGTTGAATGAATTAATAGTTCATTCATAGTAGATGATTGGATTGTCAGAAATTGGGAGGTAATTAGGAATGGAAAGGAGCGGTTGGGCTGGACAAGCAGTCCATTTTGTTGGGCCCAAGAACAGTTCTAAATTAGATTCTTTTGGTTGTGAGGCAGAATGAAGGGATTGGACTAAAAGTAGAGGTGAAGGTGAGAATGAACTGAATAGAGTACTAAGTTGTTGGAGCTCAAATCGTTGAGTTCGTTAGATAAAGATAGTTTGAATTGTGATGAGCTCGACTCAGTACATGTATGTTCACTAGTCTTCCAAGTTGAACAAATCACTGCTTGGTTCAAGTATCATTCGTTTGACAAATAAATAAGCTTTTATTTGAGTTGATCCCGACTTGTTCATGAATAGCGTGTTTGATTTGTAATCCTCACTAAAACTAACATTATTCCTGTATCATGCGGCATTTGGTACGTGTATGGGAATGGGATAAGGATTTAAAAGAACAAACTACCCTCATTTGAAAGAACACACAACCATTGCCACCATATTGCAGCCACAATCGTCACCAATGTCCATGTCCATCACCACCTTTCGCTATTATTGTCACCATCGTCATCGTTGTCACTACCAAATGTATTTCAGTAATTCAATATTATTGTCAAAGTACGATTAACCAATCGTGCTATTCCCATGCCAAGTAGATGAAATTCTATAATCCAATTCAAATCAATCCCGTCTATAAACCAAAAATGCATGCAATATACTTAATTTCCAATGATAAATTTTGTAATAATTTAGAAAAATGTAAGGGAAAACAACAGTAAAGTCCTGTGAAGCCACATGGGGGTAGTCGCCCCCCCCCCCCCACCCCCCAAAAAAAAAAAAAAAAAAACTCCTTGGATCTAATGATGATTAATTATTGACTAAAACAATTCCCACAGCACAGCCAAGGAAGCTGGCACTACTTTGTTCTTTTATAAAACTTAAACCATACAAGTAGATGAAGCCAAAGACCAACACATGATTGTTCACTTGCTTGCATGTGGAATTATGAAGAGTGATCATAGCTACCTACCATTACCTATACTATGATGCATATATAGCCATAACTTAGAAAAATATAAGAGAAAAAGAAAAATAATTAAAAAAAACAAAAATCGTACGTATGCCATGGAATTGAAAGTCCTTCAATATGTTCTCCTTGAAGTGAGATTCATCGCATACATGAGTCACCCACAAATACACGACTAATGATCTACTATTGACTAAAATTAGATATGTCGGATACTCCCATCTCCAGACTTGCATCATAGAGGATTGGTACACTGCATGGGTCGATCATTGATGACCATCCCAATCATACAGAGAGTGGAAGAATGTCTCAATCCTTTTCTTTAATTCTAAGTTACCCATTTTCCATAAAAGGGTAATAAGACAAATTGACCTAGTTTGAAGAAATGAGGTCATTTTCATGGTAATTAGGCATATGAAAGTAAAATTATGGAAATTGAAAGAAGATAGGTCACATTCATGCTTGTGACAGATAGACCCATTTTACTTAACCAAGGAGTCAATTTAAGTGGAAGATCCTTTGATGTAGAAGCATTTGGCTCCTAATTAGTTAATTTTTAGACAAAATATACCTATAGAGACAATCTGAACATTAGGGGATTGGTTGGATTTGGAGGGCTGATTAGTTATGGGTCTAGACAAATAGCTAGGGTAAGGGATAGGATTGTTATCTCAACTATTTAGGATTTGATAGTTAGGTTGATAAGGGATAGGATTGGTATCCCGAGTCAATAGGATTTGATTAGTTAGTATTTTTATTTGAATTTGCCTATAAAACTCTATTTATGGAGTTGTTCCAATGAAATAAAGCAGACTGTTTTTACCGTCAACTTGTTGATCCTTAGGAGTTCTAGGAAAGCTTGAAGTTCCTTACCTTAGGAGGACCGCAGTCAAAATAGGTCGTGTGAAAATCCTGGTGCGCTTGCCATTCACATGCAAGTAACGAAATCACAAGCCAAGGGTCATAATAATTAGAATCATAGCAAAGACACCATGTCACAAGTTCAAATTACAAATGGCGCAATTTATAAGCTGAATTAAATGTCTTAGTATTATGTATGGACATAGTGCTAATATTATCGCGTTGAACACTTATAGGTGAGTGGAACCGCTAAAAAAAAAGAGCTATCGTTAGGGTAATGTTGATATAGTTGGCCATCGTGGACATTGACTCCGTGCGTGGTGGAATTTTATATTCAAATAGTTATGAGGTCTAAGCATTTGGGTTCATAACATGATATGTTTGAGGAGTTAGTCTGGGGTGGGGGAAGT